GTAATATCATCAAATCCAACAGTTTTTTCCACGCTTCATTTTCTTTAAACCTCTCGAACGTCAGTTTTACTGATACACCGATAAAAACAAAAGTCTCTATTTTAATTTAGGATGCTAAGGTCATTAAATTTAATTGTATTCTCACAAATTTCATTGAAAAACTTATCAAAATATCTCATCCATTTTTGTTGAATATCATCTTTTAATAAAAATAATTTTTGATTTTCATCCTTAATGCACTTCACTTAGAACTAAACCCTTACTTCTCCTATCTCTATGCTTGACTAACTTATATATACATCTTTTGCCCTCCTTATAATCTAATATATTATATAAATCATTAAAAGCTAAATTCTTTGCATCGCATAATTGCTTTCTTAGACTTCTTACGTGCCTCTTTATATATTCCTCAATTTTTCAAATTTTCGCATCCAAATCAATTTTTATAGAGATTCTTTTTTATATTTGCTTGCACATTTTGATTATATCACCAATTATTTTAACTATTATGAGCTTTTCCTTTTGATACTCAAAGCATATCCTTTGCAACATTCTTAATATCATAAGCTACTTTTTTCCCTCATAATATTAGTTTTCTCATGTGCTGACTAAACATTTACCATATGCTTAAAAATAAATCTATTTTAAATCACTTAGTTAACAAAAAAAAATTGCCAATGAAGCCTTAGATAAGGTAGGAAGTATCCATCAGGATAATTAAGATAGAATTTAGCTTTGCTTTTCAATTGTGAACCAAACGTCTGTAAATAAAAGTAGGATGTTGTTATTTGGTTATCTTGATGAAAATTAACCAAATATTCCAAGATTCCCTCTCCTCTCTTCCTATTCAATCCTTTACCCTTCAATTCCCCTCTCCCAACAACACAAAAATCTTTTCACTGGTTCATTTGGAGTTCTCTCTCTTTATCCCATGAGAGCTTTCTCCTCATGAATATTACATGCATCCCAATGCATTCTCTTATAAATCCTAAAAAAAACATATTCCTCTCCTAAAGAACCAAAAACCCACCATCATCTAGTAAATAACTCGTCTCAATTCTCTTACACCCAAAAATAAATTAAGCAAACTTCAAAAAAATGAAGAAGAAAAGGATTTAGAAATATCTGTAAATCGACAAAGTAATCCTTAAATCAATTCAATAAATCTACAACCCTAAATCAATTGAATTTCTCTTCCCCATCAACTTTCCCACCCTTCACTCACCCAAAATCAAGCCTCTTACCCTCCACACAATGCCCAACCTAGAACACCCCCCACACCTCAACCCAACCTACCCCCACACACAAAACACATCTTAGAAATTCAAGACAATTCCCCCATCCCCACCCCCTCTTCCATAATGGAAAAACAAAGATCAAGTTGAGAGATCAAGAGCATAAATCAAGATTAGATGATTTCGATGGAGAGAGAAAGTAAGATATCGTGGAGGGTACCTCACATCTAAAACACTAGCTATTTAGGGAGGTTAGATTGTGATCTTCGATAAAGTTTGGCCTACATTAAACTAAAAATAATAATAATTTTAAAAGGTAACTTACTAAAAATCACAAACAATCTTGCTAATAAACCTATATATTTTTCGTTGCTTTTTTCTTGCATAACGGTCATACATAAACCTAATTAATACTAATAAGTTTTGAAATTGCAAATTATCCAATAGAAAAGGTTTTTGAAAAAAATAAATATGCTATGAAATCAATTTACTTGGAAATTAACAATGACTTTAAAATAAGGCAGCCAAAGATTTTGTAATTTTACAAAGAATTTACATAACATATCAGCATATTAATATTATAACATTTCATTCTAGATTTTTTTATATTCGTATAAAAATCTACATTCATTAATTTCATCATATATTTCTAAATTCATAATAATTTTACCTTGCTGTAAATGATTAAGAGGAATTGGATACCTAAACACATAAGTAAATGTACAATCTAAAAACATTTAAACGACATGTGTACATGACTAAAATCAATGCACTTTTCTTTTTAGATAGAGATGAATCTAATAAGGACAATTCATGGCCTCCCGATAAAAATAAAATGAGTAGTCTAAACATAAACAGATAAAGAAGCTATTTGGGTGGACAACTTAATACAACCACTAGTATGCATTTTTATCAATAAAATTTAGCATCAATATCTTGTTCCAATGTTCACGTTTATTGATAACATAGATGAGAATATTAAAGTGTTTTCTAATCACTTCTATGCTCCTCGCTGTGCACCTAAAGTGGAACCTCTTGGAATCCTTGAAAAAAACCTAATAGTCACTACCATCTTGAATTTTTTTCTTGAGGACACTCATTATCATCTTCATAGGCCACCAAGAAATGATATTACAGGCCATGATCAGGATAACCATTAACATATTGCTGATGATCACACCCTTACAGACATAAAAGTTGATTGTTTATCACTTTGATGTAGAAATGGCACACGCGCATACTGATTAGATAGCAGACATGGAATATTTTCATATTGATAAATATACAAAAAATAGGAATGTTTTTGTCAAACTTAAACTAAATCTAGTAAACATTTATAGAGACAAGTCAATACTTACAATCAGTTGAGAAACTATCACTGAAGATTATGAAGAAAATAAACATACGCTCATATCAAAGGCAAAATCTGTTTTCTCGTATACATAATATACATCAAGGTTCTCTTAAAGTGACTAAATAATTAAATGAATTTGAAGTACTTCAAGATCTGAAATTAGAGAAGCTTATTACGTAATTAAAAATAAATTTAAAATGGCCTGAGATTAGAAATTCTAATTGAAGAAATGGCAAAGGATTATAAAGTAATAAACTAAAGAAAACAATTCACAAAGCCACAGAATTATAAATTACTTAAAAAGATAAACATGAATAAAGATGTTTTAGGATCACTGTAGAACTTCAATACAACTATATCTACACAAACCAGACAACAATTCACAAAGCCACATTCATTTGATGCAATTTCAAGGCCAAAAGATGTGTTGTACTCTATTAAGTAGGTAGTCATAATGATATAAGATCGTGTGATGTACTATACATAAATGTTACTAATATTTAGCCAGTTTGTCCTAGTCTTTATAATATATTGGTCTCTATTATGGTAAAGCCAACACTTGTGTTTTCAAATTTAAAGGCACTAAATTAGATCAAAACCATCAGAACATGCTAAATGGAAATATTTGATAGGTTATGTACATCACACTACACAAAACCTCCATTTGAAGCATTTATGTTATGCAACTAAAAATTTTGTAGTTCTTATACCATTACATATTACAAATCACACTTTCAATCTAATGCATCTTCTATTGAGCATGTGGAGAAACTTCATGCTAATGTAAATTTTAAATTGCTAAACAAAATTTGGGTATTGAATGCTTATTTGCTTTGTTTGTCTCAATAAATTAATCATGCTTGAGACAGAAGATCAATGCCATATAGACGCACCTTCAAGCTTTTTGTACCTAAAAGTAGTCTTTCTGCAAGTGAAACTTCTATGCCAGTAATCATGTGCTGTTCTAAAGTACCCAAATAATTTCGTTAGTTAGAAGAATAAACCTCCTACCAAAGATTCTTGGATTGGACATGAAGAGTTGATAAAGATGGTAGCATGTCTATTTAAAGGTTACCATAATTCAAATTATCTGAAGGGGAGTTCTTCGAGCCCCTGGACAACACATGAACTCAAGCCATACTCATAAATAAAATATTAAAATCAAGTATAAATCAAACCCAAATTAAAACAAATCATGAATTTGAAATGTTTAATTTTACAATAAGCTTAGTTTTAATCTTGTTCTGAAATTTGTATTTATAGATGAGATTTAATTTTGAATTTAAGTTGCAAACTATTTCTGCAAGTAGGATTAGGATGATGTTATTTGATTATATTAAATTGAAATTAACTATTCCTTGATTTCTTCTCCTCTAAATCTCTCCCCTCTCCTCTAACCTACAATTTTTTCGCTGTCAACAATATGAAATTTCTCTCTCCTTAGGAGAGATGCACACATCCCAAGGCATTCTCTTCTCTTCTACAAGAAATATTGATATTCACTGCTCTTTCTATCTCAATTTCTCCAAGATCTAGAGATCCCCACTTCCTACCTCTCAAATCCCCCTTTCCTTAGTCTCTCACAACTAGAATAAAAGTAAATTTAAAGCTAAGGAAAAAAGAAAAGGATCAAGAAGAATATTTGTATCAAAAAGGTCTTTACCAATATCCGTATCCATTATTTCATCTTTTAAAGACCTTAGTAGCAATACAAGCTCCAAACAATGCCAATAAGAATACAACATTCAACACTTAAGAGTGAACAGTGATAACTATTTTCAATAATAACCACTCATTTTGATGCGAAGGTTTTGGAGCACGAAATCCCCAAAAGCATTGCAAGCATGTTGCAGCTGAGCTCAATAACTATCATTTACTAAATAGATTAAAATGCACTACTATAAAAAATCCCTGCATTCATTACAAACAACGAAGGGGTCATAGAACAATCTTATTAATATGTCACAACCGTGAGGGAATGATAGTATAATAAATAAAATAGAGGCCTAAACAGAAAACATATCTAAAAGAACAAGCAAACGGACTTCTCTCCAAATGTATCATCTTTCTAATGGAAGAACAATAATTTGCACAATAAAACTGATCAAAAGTTATAGAAATTTTCTCCTGCAACCCAAGGCTGTGAAGCAATAAGCTAATTAAACGGACAAATAAAAAGATTTTTGAAGAAAGTGAACTTTAGCATCAGCACAAGCGCAGTAAAGCCATGACTTCTAAACCTAAAAGCAAGCAAACCCTCGCAAACCGATAATTCCGAAGAAACATCTCTAGGTACTGAAGCATGAACATCTCTAGGTACTGAAGTATGAACAAGCAGCTAATTTAGGTATACAAATTTTATTTAAAAAAAAACTCAAAACAAGAACAGTTTCGAAAGAAAAAAAAAAGACCTTGTAAAACAAATCCTCAATTTCTCTCTCACGAATGTCACCAGGCAGATTGCCCACGTAAATAATCCGGCTCTCGCGGCTACTCATATTTCCTGTACCAACAAAGAAGAAAGAAATTTTCTTTTTCAGTAATTTCGATATCGTAAACTCGAAAATCAAGCCAAGGGCTTGTAGCACCGGATTTCTAGTAGGAGAAAGAGGGATCTTAGAGTAAAATTTCCGAGACGTCAAGTCGAAATGTAGCCGAGAAAAAGAGAACGAAAGATCAGCAAAATTGAAAACGCCGGCGCTTCGTTATGGAAGAAGGGTTAGCGAGATAACCTAAGATGCGTGGGAAGTGCAATGGGAAGGCGTCCTCTGAGATACGAGTGGGTTAGGTTAGACGGTATATATACACGGAAGTCGGCCTTCCCCTGTTCTATTTTTCTAATAATCTGCAAATGCGAAATCGTCCTTCAAAATGTATAATATTTTAATATATATACAACTTCATATTCACTCACATAATATTCAATTTTTAAAATAATAAAAAATAACACATCCCCATTAGCTTTTCATTATTTTTCACACTTACTATAACTCCCATTAATATCCTTCTCTAACAAGAACAAATGCCCCACCTCCATTGAGATTTCATCATCATTATGGGATTTACATGCCACCGACTGCAATGATGCACTTCTACTAATGAGATTCCATCATGACTTTCTCACCTCTTCTTCATCATTAAAAATTTATGAAATTTCAAAAGAAGCTCATGTAATGAGTTAATGGAGTGATACTTTAATGAATAGAAATTTTTAAGTATTAGATGTGGTATATATATGCACTAGTAAAATTACATTTGTGCCAGTGAAAAAAATTTTACAAATAAAAATATATATTATAAAATATAGAATTAAAATTTTACTTACATGAATTAATAAGTTTATCAATGAAAATAATTATAATAATGATAATTTATATTTATATCAATAATGATCCTTTATGTTAATATCAATTCACTATCATTTATGTTAATAGAGTTTTAAAATTAAATTATATGTTGTGTGCAATGTTGATAGGCTTTTTAAAATTAATTAAAAAATATTTAGAAGTAAAAACAAAGTTTCATTTCAATAACAATATATAACACTTCTGATAAATGCACACTATGGTCATATACTCAATTAATGAAGGCCATAACAAACATATTTAATAGCATATTTGTTCTCAAGAATTAGTTCATTTCAAGATAAAGTATAAATCAAGAATTAATATGTTGCTTGTAATGAAAAGTAGAATAAAAAATAAGCAAGAGATCTATCTACGTTATTTTATATATACAAAAATCAGCATATTCGTCATTGGAGTCGCTTGAATCGCTGAAAACAAATAAAAGACAAACAAATTAGTATAAAGTTTAAGGCTCAAGTGGTACAAAGTTGTAAGCTAAATTCTAATTACAACATAAAAAAATGTAAGAATTGATATTCGTAAGTTTTTCATATAAAAAAGGAAATATTCATAGCTTTAATACCAATACAAAGCACTGTATTTTTTATTCAAAAGAATGACGATTTTATACACCAAAAATTTTCTAAGGAAATTTATTCAAAATTCTATTAAAGATATAATAATCTGATTATTGAAATTAATTTCCAAAATTTAATTCTGAGAAGCAAATCTGACACAACTAAATGCATGAAATTTACATTAAATATCTCTAAGCAGATATTATATTAATGAAACTCTATAATGAAAAAATTTGTATGTTATATATAGTTTTTAATATTATCTAAATTATATATCAGCATATCAAAGGCACAAGTTAAATGAAGATGATACAAGCATAAAGCTGTCTCTAATGAAAGTTGTATTAAATCACTCATAAAAATATGACTATCAATCAAATTTTCATAAAAAATAAATCTCAAATCTCCAAATAATGAGATATGAAATTTTCACTATAAAAAGTTATTAGATAGAAATTAAATGATTTTCATATTATATAAATCACTAATGCTAAAATGTGATCTATTTAATGATTTGTAGGTGATATCTAAAACATGATTGATATTAATAATTCTTAAAATAAAATCTTTTTAAGCTAAAATGGAACAAAATTCTAATCATATAATAGTAAACATATTATTGTTATTAGATGCTCCTATTCTTAGCTTACTTTCATATCATGATCAAGATGGATGCACAACCTAATATTTAACATTGAAGAAAGAAGATTATTAATTTGAATTGTAGAATGATTTTAGTACAATAAATATGTGGTATGAATATGATTAAATTAAAATTGAAAAGTTAAAAAAATTCTTAGTTAGTTGAAAGACTAAAAAGAAGAACAAATTAAAGAATCACAATATAAGAAAATATAATAGAAATTTGTATAGAAAAAATAAATTAAAACAAAAAGGCTTACTTATTAGAGGACAAATCTCAATAACCATTATAATTATTCTGAAGACATTGTAGTGGATTTACAATTAAAAAGGAGTACAGAACTATCGCATCATTAAATTGAAAATTAAGCGATTAATAAAGACAGAATTAAATAAATTTTAAGATTATTTATCAAAAAATATACCCACAGTGCACAGACAAGCATGAGAATGACAACAATAATAAAAATAGAAGTTGTATAGATGCATATTATATCAAGAATCATTCTTGTTTGATGAATAAGACCTTAAAGAAAGGATGTGTTTTTTTTTAACAAAAATTTATTCCATAACTAAAAAGGGTAGTATAAACATAAGCCAACAAGGTCAAGACACGCAATGAGAAAGCTTAAAATACCACAGTAGGCTACAAATATCCAAGTAATTAGAAAATTAAAATAAACCAAAAATGGAATAAAATGAAAAGAGGATTGAAGCCCGTCAGACTCAGAATCACCATCTAATTGCCAAGCTTGGACCATCCATTAGAGGTGGAAAATACAACAAAAAGTCTCAATACCAACCAGACAACCACCAAGGTTGCCAAAGACAAGCAAGGCCATCCAAGGTGGCTTGCAGGAAACCTTCCTCATCATAGTTTGACCTCATAGCCTTACCATAATTCAAACAAAAGCCAAATCCCACTAGCAACCATTGACCACATAAGAAAACAAAATCCAACTAAATATAGTAGCACCAAAAAAGAAGGACACGTAACACCCCACAAAGAGAATCCGCACCAAGTCAAAAGAAACCAGACCACACCCTAACAACATCAATTACTTCAAATTAGATTTACGCATTGCTGCAACTTTTTTTCATAAATATGCTTTCATATAATTTGTGTTTTTTATGATTAAAAAATATTATTGTATTGATTACTGTTTCTACTAACATATATTGAAAATATTACTTTTGTTGTTTGTTTGTACTAATGTTTCAGAAAAATCATACTTCATATTGTTGAAGACTTCAAGTCAGATTAGATTAGGATTTATTTTTTTAAGTCGATACTTTTTATACTTTTTTTAGTCTGAGAGAGTGTGATTATAATTAGGTAACCGTGCACACACACACTAAGGGTGTAAAAATTTATAAATTTTAAAAACTAATTGTACATTATGATTTTAGATCGTACAGGATGATTTGGATTGAGCGTTCCTCTTGAAAACAGTTAATCAATCCATGCTAATGAAATTTTCTAAGTATTTTTCATATTCTAGAGTACGAAATAGATACGTACAAATTCATCCCGACGAACTCCTAATTTTTTTATGAATTGTTCATATTGTACGATCTTAGGTTCATACAGACGACGTCTAGAGTATGAAATGGTTGCATATCATTTCATCCATACGAACAAGTAAATTTTTTGAAATGTTCGTACTGTATGATCATAGGATTGTACAGATGACTTCTAGAGTATGAAATGGTTAAGTCATTTTTGTACCAAATGAAACATGATTTGATTAAAAAAATTGTATTGTATGATATGGATTTCGTACAGTACGTTATTCAATTCAGAGTTTGAAATTATTTCATATTGAATGGTACCGGATGAATTTGTTCAATTTTGAATAGATCGTATCATACGATGTCAGTTCATACACAGGTAAATTAGAGTACAAAATGAGTTTGTATTGGGTTATACAAGCAAATTTTGAACTGTCCGTACATACGATCTTTAATCGTATTGTATGACCATGGATGGTGAAATTGAAAATTTCTATTTTCAAGATGGGTTTTTATGTTTTTCATATATATAGTTCTAAAAATTGATTGTGGATGAATGCTTCTTCGTGTTTTTTTTTTTTTTTTTTTTTTTTTTTTTTTTTTTTTTGAGAGCAAGTGTGATAGTGCTTTGGGCGAGTGTTTGAGTATGAAGAGAGATCTTACAAGTAGAATTTATGAAGGGTCCACAAAATTGCCCAAAGGTGAGGATCTCTTTGTAAGTCTTGTCGAATCTCTTCCTTGCTTCTTTGATGTTGCTTGAGAGAAGATATTTGAAGAATATACAGTTCTCTGCCTATACTAGAAGGATGTGAAAGGATGACGGTTCTCTGCCAACACTTGGAGAGTGTAAAAGGACGATAGTTCTCTGCCGACACTTGGAGAGTATAAAAAGATGATGGTTCTCTGCCGACACTTGGAGAGTGTGAAAGGATAATTGTACTCTATCACACCGGCGTGGTGGAAGAGAGGTGTTGTGTAAAGGCTTCTTCACATTACTATGAGAACAAAATGAGAGTCACTTTGATAATAGTGCAATACCTGAAAATGGAGTCTTTAGAGAGTGGACGTAGGTCTAGTTAGACCGAACCACTATAAATTTCTATATTTTTATTTTACTGTATTTTTATTTTCAATAATTTTAATTTTGTGATTAAAAAGTTTTTATTTTGTTAGGACTGTTATTGTGCTTAAAATTATAAAAACATTTTTCTATAAAATTTTTAAGAGATTTTTTTTTTAAATAACCAATTCACCCCCCTCTTGATTAGCGTTGGGACAATTGCTTTAGGGCTAACAATATATACATACTTTCAAGTGGTATCAAAGCCTACTTTCAAAAATTAAAATTTAGTCAACTTTTTGAAAACGATCATGGCTACTTTTGGAAACCGTAACACACCTGAAGGGTATTTGATCACGAGACCCCTATTATTTAATAACATCTCTTTTGATTTTTGGAAAATATGTATGTCTACTTTTTTTCATTCACTTGATTATTGCATGTGAATTTTAGAATAAGAAGGATAGACTAGGCCAATTAGACTTATATATGACATTAGAACTGAAACACCGTTTACTAACTAGATTGTAGAAGAAAAAGACTTAGCTTAGTTAAACGCTAAATATTTGAATAGTTTTTTCTATGCACTTAAATTTGAAGGCTATATGCATGTATCTACCTATAAAAATGAAAAAGAAATTTGAGATAGACTTTGTATAACATATGAAGGAACTAATGAAGTGAAACAATCTAGATATAGTTGTACAAAG